CCTGGTGTCGAGGTGTGGATAAAAGCTGGGCACAATTCAATGAAAATAATCCTGAGATCGGTTAGTTCGGGTTCTGGTGGGGGGGCTGGAGGGGAAGGGAAAGGGAAGTATTGGAAGAAACGAGGAGTGGGGGGGGGGGCAGGGAGGGGGGGGGGAAGGAGGGAGGAAGGGTTTATGAAGCGGAGGAGATGAAAGGGGAAGAGGAAGGGCAGCGCAGAGGGACAAGACGGATGGGTTAAAGGTGGGTCGAGGGGAGTAATTAGATGGATGACACGAAAAACAAGGGGCGGAAAAGATGGACGGGTGGGGAAGGTAGGCGGGAGGACGAAGATATGTAACAAAGTTGCGACGGGGGAGGGAGCATGGGCGAAAAAAATAGCTAGCGACGGACAGGGCGGGATTTGGATTTAGAATACAAAAACGGGGAGGACATGGACACGAAACGAAACAAAGGAAGGGCAAGAACAAATACCCACCCCCAACAATATCGTCCACCAATCCTGAGATGAAGTCCGAGTCAATGAAGTGCATTGAGGTTGCGGTTATATACCTGGGGATCGGATTCTCCAACGTGATGGATGTTTCTCAGTAAGCACATCCAAACTCGAGAAGGAAAGCAGGACTTCAAGTTCTAGAGCTATGTCAGGAATATATATGAAAGATGGAATCACGGATATGATGTACCGATACTAAACACGAAGTAAGGTCGGCACCTCGACAAGCCTAGCCCCAAAAACTCGCAGTCGGATCTAGAGACATGAGAGGATGTGAGTGGTGTGCGTTACGTTGATCGGTGGCGGGGATTGTGGTGGAGAAGACAAAGGGTGCGGTGTCACAAAGTAACAAAGAGTGTGATTGTGATCGCGTACATACGTAAGCCAACTCTCCTCTCTGCTGCCACCACGAGCTTCAAATTCTTCGGTCCATCACAGTTTTACTTCTCCGTTCGCGTGCCAAGGCAGCTTCAACACTCCACTTCTCATGAACCATTTCAGTTCAGTCCACGTCTTCAAGATCACTGCTCATCGCGGATTTCGCAGAACCACACGCTTTGACTCTTGAGCACATCGTCAGGTGCCGTCGGCGCCACCGTTCCGTTATACGACCGCTTTTGTGTTGCTTCATGCTCACTTTTAATTAGGCCTCTACACTTCTTCATCTCTTCTTACTCTCTTTGGATCATATCCCCATCTCCGCCAACCATGTTTTGTTCAAGCGCGCCACGCCATCAACTGGTGGCCTCTCAGGTCTTCTCACATAGCCTCCGACGGGTTAGCAGTCCCATTCACTGGTATGTTTCACTACTCTATTCATCATCTAAAGGGTCAATTGCTGACTGCGGTTTTTCTAATCTCAACTGTACTCAACTTCATCCGTCAACATCGTCATGTGAGTCCAAAATAATCTTCGACGGAGATTAATCATCCTAGTCATCAACTTTGGCAGCAACGACTAATTATGGGCTCTGATTAATCCTCGGCTCCGATTAATCCGGGGTCCCGATTAATCCTAGGCTCCGATTAATCCTGTGAATCGGAATAAACACCCAGATAATTCTTCTGCATACCGGTTAATCCTCCACAGCCATAAGTAAGAGATTAATCCGGAAGTAATTTTTTCTGTAGCGCTAGGATTAATCTTGCAGGAGCACAATTATTATTTTGTGTAGCATCCCATTAATCCTACGCTGTAATCTCCCACCCAATTCTTAGCCCTCTAAAGCGCCTCGGGGTTTAATCTAAACTGCCAGGAAAATTCCCACTAGGATTAATCCTGAGAGCTGATAACGTTGCCGCAGCGGGGGGAGCTGCGGCGCGGTGTGTAGGATCTCAATGGCGCCATCGCTTTCGGCTTCAATGTACAGGTGATGGCAGAAGTCAACGAATATATTATATATCTCTTCAAGAGAAGGGTTAATATCTACCCACATATCTCCCCATGGAAGAGACTCAGAAGCTCTCCGAAATATTCGCTGTACGATGAAGGAAATGTTCAGGGGTACAAGTTGATTGTAATTTTTAAAATTTAGAATAATGCAGGCTTATGGCCATGGATCATGGATGACTCTAGCAAGCAACTCGTGCAGTAATATAAAAGAACTTCCGTGTGGACATAAACCCACCGTAACCTACTGTAACTGACTTGCACCGTCATGAACAAGTGAAGAATATTTATTCTACGGCATGAGTCAAGTCACGGCAAGTTCCCAACCTAATAACTAGATGTCGAGGCTTTTCATTGTGAGAGGACAGTGATGTAGGTGTGTCAGTGGACGAGTCGCAAAAAAAGAGTGGTGCACGTACTTAGAGACCTTCAGATTATGTGGTAAATCCCCAGTATTACGTTCAGAATCTGGGCCTCTTACCGTTGTCCGTTAATTCATTTACTTCACATTGAACATGGTGGGTGTAACTACGTTTGCTTGCGCAACCTGAATGATTTTCTCGCGCAAACAGCCAAGGAAACTTACATCAAGCCACGTAAAGCTTCACCAACATGTACAACACTGCAAGTTCAAGTTGCAATGACATCAGTCGCAGGTATTGCGGCCAAATTCCGATATCGACAGTAAGCTCCCTGTGGACATAAAACCAGTGTAACTTTCCGGACAAGTTAAGAATGTCCGTGGTACCGCCAAGGTAAGTCGGAGGTACGGCGCCAAGTCAAGTCACTGCAAGTTCCCAATTCCCGAGGTAGCTAGATGGTACGTCTCATCATTTTGAAGGGAAAGTGATGTAGTTCTTAATTAGTTTTCTTGAAATTGGACGTGAATAAGTCCGCATGTACGACGTGGATTAGTTTGATTGATGTCCTTGCGTGAACAGCCAAGCAAACGTACATCACGCTAAGTAAAGCTCCATTAACTTTTGAAGTTAAACACTGCAAGTTCAACTGAACTTGTAAAATTGCGGGCCAGTCATGGGCCCTGGGGATTCAATGAAGTCCTGATCACCCCCAGGCACTTCCGCGCACTTTCCTCCTCCCCCAGTTCTTTGCTTCGTGCAATGGCTTCAAGTGGCTTCGGTGCATACTTCCCGAGTAACATCATGATCTATGGCATTAACACAAGGCTGCTTGGTGGGTAAAATCATTTTCACTGTGGTTCCAATTTGGTGAAGTAATCTAGGCCCTTGTATCACAAAGTCAGGAGGATCCGTATGAAATGGGCCCGGGTAAGAAATGGGCTTCGGTGAGAAACAGAGATGGAGAATCAGCCGATTTGGCTCCTTCATCAACATTACCAGTACTTACCACAGTAATACTACTTGCTTGGTTTGTGCTTGGGATGTAAAAATAAGTTCATAAAGCGGCCCAGTAAAGTATCTGGGAACGTGAATTGGATACTGATATGGCCACCAGAACGTTATACTTACCCGCCCTGGACATCACAGGCCTAGAAAGCAGACTTGCAATAACCGTGCACGTATAAGTTAAATTGTCGCCGCTTGGGAAAGCCAAGTAAAGTCACATAAAGTCCGACCTGGTTAAAATAGCACGCAAGTAAAGTTCCAAGTAACGTAGAAAAGTTCCTTTATTCACTCTCCTCAGAAACTCATTCTCAGCTGAAGGTCGAAGTATCTGCCTCGTAGCGGTCCCCGAAGACAACGGATGCCTCGTTATCAATTAGGAAATCATGATGATGGAAGAGGTCGCCGAGCTATTGTCTTCATGGTATGCCAGGTATAGTCTTAGAAAACGTAGGTACGGCCAACAAACATCCCCGCTTCGCGCATGCCTTTTTTTCGGTTTTGAAGAACTAGATGCGACATTGTTAAGATCAAATATAGCCGAACCAGCGGTGGTTTGGCCGTCTAGGCTCCGTCATCGGCGGCCTTGGAGGACCGGCCACAGCAAACCGAACGACCATTGGTGTTTATAAAGTCTGTGAAATGGCAACCGGAAATTGCAACCGAAAATTCGGAACAGCCTTTTCCTTTTCCTTCTCCTCATATCTCACTGTATGCACCTTTCCTCCTCACCAACCCCCCAAAAAGCTGACTCTCCTTTAGATCTTCATATCACCATGAAGTTCACTGCTATCCTCGTCGCCCTCTGGAGCGCCTCATTTGTAGTGGCGAAAAACTGCACCCCAGGTCTGCAATACTGCGGACGCACCCTCCTCTGCATCGGTGAGTGTTGCGTGGATCCAGATCCCTTTTGGATCTTGACCCAACGCGCCAGGGAATTATATCGAGCAGATGGACGCGGCCGTCAAGAAGGCGAAGATCGACCCCAACCACGTCCTTGACACGCTTTACTACCGCGTAGGGGGGACCAACGGGGACATCCGTGTTATCAAGGACTGCGGAGCAGGCGCGTGTATTGACGGCGGCGAGGGCAACAGCGACCGGTGCGCCGCGGCATCCCGCATCCACCTCATCTTCCAGGCTGAAGAGAACAGGTACACCGTCGAAGAGGACGAGGGGAATATGTGGCAGATCATCTAGATCGAGGCGTGGAAGCTGAGAATGCGATTCTGTAATATAATAAAATTCGAGTCTAGCAAAGGAAGGATCCATCACTGAGGCTCGCGTTCTCCGAATGCTTGGACATAGTCAATGAATAATGGTTCGTGAATGGCATGGATCCACTAATCTCCTGCGTGCACCGCCCGTGCCGGTCGAGGTGCGCCCTTCTGCGGGTGGCTGTGGCGGGCGGGGAGGACGGGGCGTCGTCGCCGTCGTCGTGCGCGGTGGCTGTATGGGCGTTGGTGCGTCAGCGGGAGCCTAGCCCGGAGAAGGCCATGGCGGAAAACGACAAGATCGGAAAGCTGCGCTGCGTGGCGGTGTTCGGGAGGAGCCGGGGGCGGTGCGGTCAAAGCGAGTGATAATTACATTACACAATACTACATATTTGTCTTCAGTAGACTCGTAGTTCAGGCACTTGGACTACGCGAGTATAATATATCCCGGGCTGGGGTTAAATTTAATGGAGGTGCAGTTGATTCTGCTGTAAAGTGAAAAGTGAGGGGAAAAAGAATGCTGGAACCATGCGCGTCATGCACCGGCGGGGAATCGAACCCCGATCTGCCAGGTTCTGCCTGAAACGGTTTGAAATGATCATGAAGGGCGGCGTGCATCAGGCACCACCGGTGCTTAGTCCCATCCTTCTCAACTCTGGTTTATACAACTGTAAACCACACATCGACCAGCTCCATTACAGGCTACAGCACTTCCACTTGGGTAGTAGGGCCGTGGCGTTGCCCGGCAAAACTCGTACTTATTCCTTTTACTATAGTACACGTCATTCCGGTATATTCCGGTCGGCTTCCCGGCATCAAATCCATTTCGGTCCCACATGATTGACAGATTATCCGTTCTCTTAACGAAATCTCTCGAATGTCATTGTACATGTTTGTGCGACATCCCCATTTGTATATCCCCGTTCCTGCCCCTCCTCTCTGGTCCTTCATTCGCAGCTTTTTCGACTCCCACAAGCGCGCAGTATGTGCACAGCTATGTTCCATTTACAGCCACGGAACACTGCTAACACACCATGGGATCGTACCTCCTGACCTTGGAACTGCGGCAAAGTGCCTCGACTTTGACATTCCACAGCTTTTTATGCAACCTCATGACTTGAACACAAGACCTGAATCAACTGTATCGCGGTTCAATAACATCTGAAAGGCATCTTCCTCAATGCCGCAGCCAGGCGACGATGCTGCGGCCACGTATTGCTGCGTGGCTTGCCCCGGTATAAAACAGCTCACTTTCTGGGATCCCGTCGGCTAGTCTGCCCGCCCTAGTCTCCCACTTGAAAATTCCCTGGCACTCAAGCTGGTTTTTTATTGATATACAGCAAGCACTGAAGGCCTAGGCGACTTGCTCTTCAAACTCATCAAACTCACTCCAAGACCGTTCTTTCTCACCTCTCTTCGTTGTGTTCTGCCGCATCTACTCGTGTACATTCTTCCATAACGAAACACTGCGAACCTAGGCTTCAATCCGAACGACGGATCCTTATTCCTCCGTCGGTTTTCAAAGTGTGCCAACATTCATGGGATCGCAATTCCTTACACACAGACTTCATCAGCAGCATGCTCATCTCTTAGCAACGCAGCTACGCCACCAATTTACCTCTGCAATATGTTTCCTCAATCTACCATGGATTTATGGTCAGGTTTGTCATCATCCGTACTCTAGGGAAGGGACTCTTGCTTATTCTGGTGAGTACTATGCGCTTTTGCACAGATTTTGCTCGCACTCAGGTTCCCCCGTCCCAAATTTAGGTTACCTGAACGATGGCAGCTTCTTCGTAGCCAAATTCACTGTAGGGTTACTTGAATACTCTATATTACAAGTAAATTGCCTGAGACTAAATAAAATATTGTTCTACCATGCACCGGAAAGACGCACACCAGCCCTGTCAATGGTGCCGGAGCGAAGCGAAGGCATATCTTGTGTGTGATCTTCTCTTGCTTCAATGTCCGCGTACCAGGTAGATTCACCGTCAACCTTAAGAGATCCATGTTGAAGATGAGAAGTATAATGTTAGCCAGTTTTTCGATAATGAGGCATGCCGATGGAAGCCGACCGGATGTAGCCGTTGTCCTACTTGGGACGCAAGCAACGTGGAATCTTAATATTAAATTAGGTAGCGAGCTAGGTTGAGGACAATTTTTTTTTATGATATGGGTTACTCGGTGCTCAACCCATCAATCCAGAAATAACTGACACAGCCGCTAGAAAGATTTCAAAAAAATGAACCGTTTCTAAGGACAGCCACAAGATTTATTAGCATAGCCCCTAAAAAGTCCCTCAACGTTTTGAGTGTTACCGGGATTTTCGACAGCAAATTAGGGTCCTGGAGATTTTACAGCTGTTTGCAAAGTTGATGACAGTCAGCGTTTAAAAAAAATAAGAACAAACTTTGGTACCTCCTTCTTGTATCGCTCCTCCTCTTCCTCTGAAGGGTTTTGGAAGCTCTTTAATGGTCATACTGGTCTTCTAGTAAGCTAAACATGAGTTTCTCGATGTTCAATCAACCAAAATGGCTCACGGCAAAACCCGACCGTCAATCGCCGCTGATTGACAAGCAGCCAATACACGCAAACACAGGACGCGCATCTTTCCTCCTGCCGCCTCTTTCTTACTCTTCTTTTCTGAAATAGTGTCGACTATGCGCCACTCTGAGCGTCCACGAAAAGCTTCAGCAAAGCTTCTTGAATCAGGTCTCGCCTCTCAAGATTCTGCAGACCCTGTCCTCAATACTTCTGACACGTTGACGTCCTCATCCTCCGCTTCTAACTCATCCTCCAAATTATCGTCTGCTTCTAAGTCCTCTAAATCATCCAATTCATCATCATCTAAGCTCTCATCCACATCCTCGTCCGCTTCTTCCGCTCGTCCACCCGCCTTGCATAAGAATAATGACGACGATGAGGTTACAATCCTCACCGACAACAAACCCATTATTGTTTCTAAGCCCCCTAAGAAGCGCAAAATAACCGTGCTTAACGGTTTGACTGACCTCTGAGATTGCATCTTCGTCCTGACCTGTTGCAGATGAATCCGAATCCGACGTCGACATACCGAGTAACCTCAACAAGGCTGCAAAGGCAGCATGAAGTCGTGCAGAAGACCTTGAGGATCAGGGTCCCCAGCTGAACGATGGTTGGTTAACCTGTATCGTCGTATTTTGCACTGATCTGATGAGAACTCAGTGGATGAAGAGCCTCCCAAGAAAAAGATCAAAAGGACATCACAGGGGAGGAGGAAAGAGGATGAAGGTCAGTTTTTGGTTTATGTCGTATTCTCTTGCGGAGTTTTCTACTGACTTCCATTTCAGAATTTGCGTTGTCTGATTCCGAAGCTGCCCCCACTCCTCCCACGAAAAAGGCCGTGGTAGAAACTGTCGATTCCGGTTCCGGTTTGTTTTTTCTTCTTCAGAATCCACATATGTGTTCTAATGTTGGGATTTAGAAGAAATCACTGTCGAGGTGCAAATAAATATTGATATCTATTCCCCGGCAGAGATGCAGAAGTCGTTCAAGAAACGACTACCTGCGAAATCGGGGTTCATGAACATAGATACTTCGACATCTTTCAACTCCTTTCTCCGACAAATCCGCAAAAAAATCACCAAAATTGCTAAACTTTCCGGCTTCGTAGATGACGATGATATTGTGCTTCAATTTATTGTCCCGTGCTGGGTTTTGAACCCACTAGACCTGGATGATGCAGAGGCATACAAACACATGCTCAGTAAATCTCAAAAAAGCAAAGATCCCGTTGCAACAGTAATTGTCGAGTTGAAGGTGATATTTCTATATGCATTCATTCTTTTACTCAATCACTACAGGAGGGTTTGGAGGAACCTGACACGGATTTCGATGCGAAAGCGAAAGAGAAGAAAAAGAAAGGCAAGAAGTCGAAGGTACGTGAGCACAATATTTGATGTGAGCAGAGACTTATGATTGATAGATACCCTCCGAAACGGACATCCTCCCTGCCAACACGATCATAAATCAAAAAATCGGTCTACTCAAGGCGAAATGGACTTGTCACGCCAACGATGGCAGCGACTATTGCTGGATTTCGGGCGAGGCTAAAGACCACCTCCGTCTCACCCATGCGCATTTTTTAACTTGGGCAGCTGCTTGGGTACGTCTCAGTTTTGTGTTTTGATCATTGCTGAATAATGTCGTAGGCAAACGATTCATGTGATGAGGAGACTCCCCCCAATCACGCCCTATTCGACATCAAGGGAGGTAAAACGCCCCCTCCAACGGCATTGCAACGTCGTATCGCCAATAACCAGCCCGCTGTCGCCGCCGCCCCCACCATCAACAACCATTTTACACTTCCAGACACTCTCTTGGAGATAATACGACCGGGATCTGCCCAAGCAGCAGCCCCTGTGACCAACAACCACACCGCTACCCAGCCCATCACCGACCACCTCATGCTTCTACCCCCGAACCACCGTGTCGGCGAACGGCTTACCATCGGCACTTTTTGCATCAATTACGACCTCGACAGTTCTATTGCTGATAAATTCACCACGAACGGCTACAGAAATACGTCTGTCTTTTATCTTGTCAAACTAACCGAGCTTGAAGTGATGAATTTCTTGCCGGGGGAAATTGCCGAACTGCGCGATGCAGTTCAGCGTTGGGCAGAGCCGTCGTAGTTACTAATACTTCTGAACAATTGCTTGTTACATTCCTTCCTGCTTGCAATACTCAGTGTAAATTGAAATCTGTGATAATACATGCACTGCACTAGAGATATCCTGCGTGTGCGAAATACCCCGCTGCATTCGCTGGTGTGATGATCTCCATCGCCGTCTTCATGTCATAGATCAGCCCGGCGCCCGTTGATGCGGAGAAAATGTCAGCGTGGCGGCGGATGAAAGCTTTGATCTGAGAGAAAGCCTCCTCGATGGGGTTCGAATCCGGTGAGTATGGAGGGAGAAATTCGATACGGACATCTACAAAGATCAGCAGCGTGAAACCTAAAAATAAATAGAACTCACCGAAGCGCTTTGCAAGGAGCAAGATCTCTTCGCCGTGGTGGATTCGTGCATTATCCATGATGAGGACGGACAGAGGTCCAGGGAATGGAGATGTTAGAGGCATCTTGATGAAAGTGATATCAGAACGGAGTGTAATAATATGCGAGAGCAGGTACAACTTCTTGCTCCAGGAACTCCAAGTAATCAGGGCGCTTCATCGACCCTTCAATAACAGTGTTCGCAATCATTCCGTCGAGCGTCAATAGTCCCGTCCCAGTGAGGCGTGTCCCCCGCACAAATTTTCTGCTTCATCTGTGCACGCTTCCCCTTCCTAGCTCGCCCGAAGCCCCGACTGAGTGTGCGCTCGTTCTTTGATGTCTCATCAAGAAACCCCAGATATTCGGCAGGATATTCACCCATCCGGCGAACGAAATCATTCCGCGCTTTCTCGTTGCGCTCTGCAGCAATCTTCTTCAGCCTCTTGCGTGACATATTTAGACGTTGGAGTTCACGGAAGATAGTGGTAAAGTGCACAGAAATAAAGCGATTCGTCTTCAAAAGATTTAGGAGCTCCTTCAGAAACCAGTCGGGTCGAAGGTTTACGAGGCGGATGATGTAGTCGATGTCCTCGCGCTCA